TGCAAGGGCATACTGGTTTGTGGGTGATCAACTGCTCCAATGAACCTTCGGTACTGCCAGAGGGTCTACAACTTGCTAAGATCTGTCAAAATCAAGTGTTTTCTCTTGCAATCCTTGCAGAGAGCTGCGATTTGCCGGATAAGCCCAATTCAGATTATCGGCACGCCAGGGACACCTCCATTATGGCAATGATTAACAAGTCTCTTAGCACCAACGAGCGTAATGACCTGGCGAGTATTCTGCGGAAACATGCTGGTCTTTTCGATTTCGCACAGCTACAGGCTCTACTGTCATTCCCTTCTTCTCGTGTAAAGCACGGCATAGATGCGGCATACCATAGACCTCTCCCACCAAAGCCATACTGAGTATCACCTTCGGAACGCGCACTGATAAAAGAACAGGTTGGCGAGATGCTAAAGAAAAATGTGATTCAGGAATCATGCAGTCCGTGGGCCACTCCCGTAATATTGATCAAGAAAAAGATGGAACATGGCGATTTTGCGTTGACTACCACCGTCTCAACGCCATCACAAAGAAGGACGTATACCCACTACCACGTATTGATGATGCTATAGACTGTCTGTCATCAGCCTCCTACTTTTCGTCTGTTGATTTGAGGTCAGGGTATTGGCAAATTCTAATGCACGAGGAAGACGAAGAGAAAACGGTATTTGTTACACCGGATGGACTTTTTGAATTTCATGTGATGCCATTCGGACTATGCAATGCGCCTGCAACTTTCGAGCGCTTCGTGGACAACATTCTGCGTGGTTTAAAATGGGAAGTATGCATGTGTTATCTAGACGATGTTGTGATTTTTGGGCGCACTTTCTGTGAGCACAACACACGCCTCGACCTCGTGCTGAACTGCATAAGCAAAGCACGCTTGGTGCTCAACTCAAAGAAATGTCGTTTAGAAGAGCGCCAAACACTCGTCCTTGGACATTTGGTGGACAAAGAAGGCATATGGCCAGATCCCGAGAAAACGGCTGCAGTGGAGGCGTTCAAGCAACCTCACTCAGCGAAAGAACTACGCAGCTTTTTTGGGCCTCTGCTCAAACTTCTGTCGATTCATTTCTGGATATGCCAATATCGCGCACCCACTCACGTGCCTGCTTCAGAAAGGCGTGCCATTTGACTGGACTGTGGAATGTGCGTCCGCTTTTTATGAGTTGAAGTTCCTTTTGACATCCTATGCGATTCTTTGACACTTCGATTCTCTGGCTCCCCCAGAACTTCACACAGACGCTAGTGGCGTCGGTGTAGGCGCCGTGTTGACCAGCTCAGACCCAGTCGTCCAGTTAAGGGTCGTGGAGTGGGCCACACAGGTCGCCGCCAACCTTGGGTGGATGGCCATCTAACACGGAATCATCCTCAGTTGCTTTCTGACGAAATAAAGTTTTTCCATCCATCCATCCATGCAAGTCGCTCGCTAAGCAAGTCCGAGCGCAACTACACCGTCACAGAGCAAGATTGCCTCGCAGTAGTGTTCGCAGTGCAGCGCTTCCGGTCCTGCCTGTACGGACGCTCCTTTACCATCGTGACAGATCATCATTCACTCTGCTGGTTGGTAAATCTCCGTGACCCACCTGGTCGACTAGCGCGTTGGGTACTCCGTCTGCAAAAAAATACAACTTTACGGTTTCCTATAAAAGGGGTCGTCGTCACGCTGATACAGATTGCCTTTCGCGAATACCAGTTCTATCGACGGACTGTCATGCGGGCAACTTCGACACCTACATTGCGCCATTAAACCTGCCATTTCCTGACACCAATGCATTTAAGATTGAGCAGCAAAGGAAGCGCACAATACAGGAACTTCTTCCTATCGAGTCAAGATCATCGGCGACTCGCTTCTGCATGCGCGACGGGCTTGTGTGCAAAAAGAACTATGCCACGACCGGCTTACGATATCTTCTCGTGGTTCCGAAGAGTCTTGGCGTTTTAGTCTTGCAGGCTATGCATGATGACCCAACGTCCGGCTATCTAGGCATAGTGAAAACTCTTTGCCTGCTTCAAGAAAGATTTTACTGGCCGAAAATGCCCCAGACGACAGAACGGTACGTCTCTAGTTGCAACGAGTGCCAACGCCGCAAGCGCCCTACCAGTGATCCTACAGGGCGACTTCATCCTATTCCATCCCCTAGATCTTCATTCGAGCAAGTTGGGATTGACCTTCTAGGGCCCTTTCCGAGGTCTTATAATGGCAATCGCTGGATAGTCGTATGTGCCGATCATTTAACACGGTACTGCGAGACGGCTGCTATACCATCGGCTACTACAGCTGACGCGTGTTTATTCATACTGCGTTTTGTGGTTCTACGACATGATTTTCCTCAAATTATTGTCAGTGAGCGTGGGCGACAATTCACTGCAGGCGTGGTGGAAGAGATGCTTCGTCTATGCGCTGCAAGCTTTCGGCACTCTACGCCATATCATTCCCAAACAAGTGACCTGACGCGTAATGAACTAACAGGATTCTCGCGTACATGCTATCTATGTATGTCGCAGCAGACCACAAGAACTTGGACGGCGTGCTACTTTTCATCGCTTACGTATTTAACACCGCACAGCATGGTAATACCAGCTGCAGTCCGTTCTTTCTTCTGTATGCTCAGCCGCCTCGTCATACTCTGGATACCGTCTTCCCGTTTTTAGATGCGGAGCATCTAATACTCGAGGCTTGTAGTGCGGCGCCGTCCGCAAGCTTCCTCCTCCTTCTTCCACCATCTGTGCATCCCTTCCTCCTCTACACACCGCGCGCGCTTCACTACTCCACCATCTGTGCACCCTTCCTCCTCTACACACCGCGTGCGCTTCTCCTCTTCACGAACATTCGCTAGCTGTATAATGTAGCGCGCATGCGCCGTCACGCTTCGAGAACATCGGCAGCTGACGCGCGCGCATGCGCCGTCGCGCTTCGAGAACATCGGCAGCTGACGCGCGCGCATGCGCCGTTGCGCTTCTTCCCCTTCTCGAACATTCGACAGCTGACGCGCGCATGCACCGTCACCCACCATCTGTGCCGCGCGCGCTTCTCCCCTTCGAGGACATTCTACAATTCTCCTGATTCTCCAGTGGACGCGCAGTGGACGCGCCGTCACGCTTCGAGAACATCGGCAGCTGACGCGCGCGCATGCGCCGTTGCGCTTCTCCCCCTTCTCGAACATTCGACAGCTGACAGTGCATGCGCCGTCGCGCTGTATATATACTCAAGGTCGGTGCTCGCTCGCTCAGTTGCCGCTCGTCGGTTGGTTTGTACGGCGCGTCGACGTCCGAGGTCGCAACCCGATCCACTCACTCTTCACTTTACCGACCAAAAAGCCATCGTGCTCAGAGTTCGTCGCAATAAATAAACACCGCCCTTTCGCATACGTGTCGTACGTGTTCACACATTTAACACCCCTCTTACAACCACGTTAACCAATTTAGCCAGCGACCCAAGTAAGTCGCAATTTAACACCCCATTTCACAACCACGTTAACCAATTTAGCCATCGACCCAAGTAAGTCGCACTTTAACACCCCGTTAGCCAATTATATGCTCCGCATCCTCCTCAGTGTTCGCCCGAGGGAAGCTGCGGGCAATTTTTTGTACCACCATGATTCCGGTATATCCGCGATCGTCTGCCGTGCAGAAGAAGCCCGACTTGCTTACCTGCGCACCCTCGCTTCGCAAGATCGCTCGAAGACACGTTTTGACCGTCAACGTCGACACGTGACGTATAATCGCGGAGACCTCGTGTTGCTGTGGGCGCCAAATAGAAAACGTGGGTTGTGTGAAAAATTGCTGGTGCACTATGCGGGACCTTATGTTGTTCTACACCGTATACGCGACTCAACTTACCGCGTAGCACGCCTTCATTCAAATGTCTGATGGTCTGCAAAGACTGAACTTGTCCATATAGCACGTTTGAAGCGCTATATTCCCAGAGAGACTCTTTGACTCGCCCGGTGGGCTTCGTCTGCGCGGAGGGAAATGTTACTGCATATGTGATGTGATTTGGGTATGAGCCACTGGTTAGCGGGGAACAGGCAGATTAGAGAAGAGGACGTTCGGCTAGCGAGATAGGCATCCGGTGCACGACACCTTCAAGTCTACCGGTACACCACAGTGGAATAAACACATAAACGTAACAATATGAATAGGAGAGACTTTGTAGTGGAGGGCTCCGAAAATTTTGACCACCTGGAGTTAATTCACGCACACCCTATTTGGCGCGCATGGACCTACAGCATTTTCGCATCCATCGTAAATGCAGCCACCGCAGCCGGGATTCGAACCCGCGACGTGGTGGAGCGTACCGTGGTGGGGCGTACCATGGAAATCTATAAATGCTAAGTGTTGTGCCCACAACAACAAAAAAGGTGAAAACGACTGTAGCACTTTAAGCACCGTGGTTTAGTTTTCCAGCAATGTTATGCTGTGACAACCGAGCTGGACTGCATAACACAGCTAGGCAGGGTCGACAATAACAAAATGCATTCCTTTTAAAAGAACAAGGCCGCCTAAATTGGCACACACCAATCCAGGTGGCAGTGGTAAAAATTATCGCTAAAAAAGCTGAAAACCATGACACATCACGCAGTAAGCCCAATACATGTGTCATGGAGAAAAATTATTCCTTGATCATGGCTACGCTTTTTCATGACAATGATGACCAAGAATGGTGCATTCGAAGAAATTTTTGCCATTTTTGCATTTGCATCTATGAGGGACTAGTACATGTGGAGGGCCGCGGTGCCTCTGCATCGTTGGAGGACCTGTGTGTGTGTGTGTGTGTGTGTGTGTGTGTGTGTGTGTGTGTGTGTGTGTGTGTGTGTGTGTGTGTGTGTGTGTGTGCATGTGTGTGTGTGCATGTGTGTGTGTGTGCATGTGTGTGTGTGTACGTGCGTGCGTGCGTGCGTGTGTGTGCGTGTGTGTGTGTGTGTGTGTGTGTGCGTGTGTGTCAGTTTACTATGCCATGAAACATTTTAAAAGTGCACGCTCACGTCGACCAATATCTCTATAAGTCCGATTTATCGTACACGTGAACGTAACTGAAATGCCATCATCAGAAGCTGTTGCCAACGAGTGCGTTGACCCACATCCATTTTGGTCACGTTGGTCCTGCACGTGGTCGCTGTTGCAACACCATCTTCGGAGCGCCGCATTCAAGTTCGCAGTGCAACGAAATACTGGTTGCTCTGGCAGTACAGCGCATTATTGTACTGTGATTCAGTGTGCTTCATTTGATATCGCTCCAAGGAGTAAGGAACTATAAGATGTTGAACAAAAAAAAAAAAACGACGATTTCATCGTAGAGCGCCATGCGAAGTTCATAGTCGCAAGTATACGCCCATGACAGCTACGTCGTCAGCATCTTACCCTAACGACATCGGCCGCTGCAAGTCTTGCGAATGTGCACCAGAACAGGGACCGTTGGTCGAACGCTAACACGGCACAGCCTAGGCTGAAGGCACTTGCAGACAAGGAAGCCTACGATCGCGGGTGATCTCCGTGAGAGTCTATATGTCCAATCTGAGTGCCATAACGGGCCGAGGTATCTGAGAGTCTTGCACGTGAGTCACTGCAGGGTATTCCATGAGACACTTCCTGTACAGAAAGCAAAGTGGTTGCCATCTTGACGGCACACTGACTTTCCAGTTGTCCTTCTGCCTGGCGGGAAGGACTTGGGGGCAGACGGCACATTGTATCAAGAGAGGTCTTGTTACGAGCCTTCGGGTTCCACGCGGCCTTCATCGTGTGCCTTGTCGCCCTCGTTGCTGGTTGAAGCGACCGGTGAAGATGTTTTATCTGCGATGCGAAAGGAAAAAAAGAGAGAGAAATTGTAATCATCTGGGCACGACTCTCCTTGTGGGATCGCGAAAATATATGCTTACGGTTTCCGATCGATACCCACTCCCCGTTGCAATACACGTCGTCTTTGGCGCTTTCTGTGTCAAAGGTTCTCTTACGACTCATCATAATGAAGACGGCTTCTGTGCATTGCCTTCAGAATACTTTGGAAGGGTCTGCTGCTGCTGGTATGAATACATAATGCAAGGACACAGAAACCGGGCGCACATCTTTCTGATTTCTTGCTTTGTTGAGCTTTATTATGTATGCAAGCCAAATCCAACAAACCCAAATACGAGTTTCAACGTGTTAGCATGGTTCCGTGAGTGCGAAACACTGTTAAAGGGACACTGAGCAAGAACATTGGCTTGGTTTTGATTGAAAAACTGCACTCTTAGAATTGTAACGCCATACTTTTCACAATCATAAGTTCATTAACAGAGGAAGAGTTTAGGGTCGAAATGTCGTTTTTAAATTTCACGCTAAACTTTTTTTCGCGACGTAAAAAATTTCAGAATGTAATTTAGGTGTTTTTGTAGCATTGGCTGGTTGAAAAGTTTTTTAAACTTCGTATGCTGAGTCTATGGCATCCACACCTTGCAGCATATTTCAGTTTTCTCATTTGGAAGCTACGTAGGAGACGCTTTCGAGACTTCCTACGTGTTTGGTGCGGGAATCTCAATGTGGCGTCGCGTTTTCTTTTCGCACGCTTTATACTAAGCTTCATGTCGCGGTTTTCGAGAAATCGTGCTCTCCTGATGCTTTTCTTTAAAAACGGAGGCGATTTTGCGCACTTCTGCGGTCATGCCACCTTGACAAAACAGGCGCTTCTGATAGCCAAAACATCATATACCGTCATGAATATCCTCGAGTGTGCTACAGCTCTTCCACCTAAAAACGAGTTTAGCGTACGTCATTCAGGCCGCTCCGCCGGTGGCAACGTTGTACGCCATCTTGTCATATCCCACTCAACAAACGACAAAAAGCGTGGTAGAAGATAATTCTACGCTGCAGCGATGTCTATTATCTCTCAGGAAGTTTTTCATGAGAAAGAAAAAAAAAACATCTGAAAGCAATTTTCTGCTCAGTGAACCTTGCATTTTACACCGTAGTTGCATGTGGTTCCTGTGCGTCAATAAACACGATAACTGGACAATGCTCGCGTGCATACATTTGACTCGTGCTAACATGTTCAAGGTTGTGCCCTCGCCATTCAGTGTGTATCATACCGACCACACGGCGATGATTCTCGCAACCAAGAAAATAATGGCTTTCCGATGAAGAACACTTTGTACGTATACTTTTCGCCTCGTATCATGTGCTGCACCCGTCCTCACATATTGGCTCATAATTGTTTATTCGGATTCAACCGAGTAGAAGAAGGCCGAGCTCTGTCAAGACCCGTCGTGCCGCTCACTTAATCGTTCATCTCCTCTTTGATAACAAACAATTTTTAGATCCTAATAAGTCTCAGGTTGATTAATCTTTGTGCATTCACAAATAAGCTGCCGAAATTTTAGGGCGTTTGCTCTCACAATTTCTAATTCAATATTTTTATAATCAAGCGAGCAGTCTAGGAGTCCAGCAACACTGGCACACTCGCGAGTGGTGACGCAACAATCGCTAGCTGCGCGAGCGATATTGTCAGCTGAGCGTGAAATCGGGATCTTCAGCTTGGCGCTGAAACTTTGGTCCTGCTGCTTCACGGCGGCGTTGAGCGGCGACATCTGGGGCTTGCTTATAAGGGCCACTTTTCATGTTTGTAGGCGAAAAAGACCATCTCTTTTTTGATGGAAACGAGGAATTGTTGGGTGACCGTGTCACGGCCCTTTTAAGGCGATCACCGTTATAACATTCAAGGGTGAACAATGCTGCAATCATGGATGCTTTCATTTAGGAGCACGCATAGACCCCTTTTCATATCTTTGTAGGTGAAAAAGACCATCTCTTTTTTGATGGAAATAAGGAATTGTTGGGTGACCGTGTCATGGCCCTTTCAAGGCGATCACCATTATAACATTCAAGGGTGAACAATTCTGCAATCATAAATGCTTTCATTTAGGAGCTCGCATAGACCCCTTTTCATATCTTTGTAGGCGAAAAAGACCATATTTCTTTATGGAAACGAGGAATTGTTGGGTGACCGTGTCATGGCCCATTTAAGGCGATCACCATTATAACATTCAAGGGTGAACAATGCTGCAATCATGAAGACTTTCATTTAGGAGCTCGCATAGACCACTTTTCATTTCTTTGTAGGCGAAAAAGACCATCTCTTTTTTTTATGGAAACGAGGAATTGTTGGGTGACCGTGTCATGGCCCTTTCAAGGTGATCACCGTTACAACATTGAAGGGTGAACAATGCTGCAATCATGGAGACTTTCATTTAGGAGCTTGCATAGACCCCTTTTCATATCTTTGTAGGCGAAAAAGACCATCCCTTTTTAGATGGAAACGAGGAATTGTTGGGTGACCGTGTCATGGCCCTTTCAAGGTGATCAGCGTTACAACATTCAAGGGTGAACAATGCTGCAATCATGGAGACTTTCATTTAGGAGCTCGCATAGATCACTTTTCATTTCTTTGTAGGCGAAAAAGACCATCTCTTTTTTTATGGAAACGAGAAATTGTTGGTGACCGTGTCATGGCCCTTTTAAGGCGATCACCGTTATAACATTCAAGGGTGAACAATGCTGCAATCATGGAGACTTCAATTTAGGAGCTCGCATAGACTCTTCTTCATCGTAAAAGAGAATGACGCTAATCTCAGCTTAGTGGGTTTGGCGTAAATGAAGGACGAGCGTACCGACGTTTGCAGGCGGCTGCCTCCCTACAGTGCGTGAAGCGATGCGCTGGAAGCAGCAAAAGCAGCCGTACGATGCCGAGGCCAGCGCGGCAACTCCACCCATGATGCGGAAGGCAGTCTCGGCTCCTAGGAAGTACATGGCGGTGCCGCCCACCAGGCTGCCCGTGCTGCGACCTGCAACCGAAAAAAAAAAGAAACGTGCAATGCAATGTAGACCAAAGTACGGAGAGCCCCTGCACCCTCCTAAAAAATTTCGCCTGCTCCCCCCCCCCCTCCCAAGATCAAGCATAGTCAAAACACATCCCATATGTTCCCAGCCTCCCTTGCCCCCCGAAGGAACTCACTTGTCATGGGTAGAGTTAGTGTAAATCTAGCCGTCGGTGTCCCCCAATAGAAGAACAAAAAAAAAAGAGCTCCTGGAGCCATCCCTAACACAGACGCAACCATTTTTCGAAAGAACAGCCTACTCTTGGATCGCACTGCAAGTGGAGCGAAGAACAAGCAGAAATATATCTTAAGGGAAACCGAGAGTGCGCAGCCGGTGTTGCAATGACAAAGCCTAGAAAATGCTTCAAAAGGCGACAAACACAGCTCTCGATCATAATTATTGATGATGCTAAACGTACCTTGAGGATCTAAGGATGTGCTAGCAGCACACAGAGAAAACTGTCTCGACTTTCTTCATCCGCGTCCTTCGTTGTGCGCTGCCGAAAGTTTCTTCATATGAGGGGCGTCGAATTGCAGTCTCCTTTTATTGGACGCGTCTCAATTGCGTGCTAAGCAGGGAAGCTATTCTTGATATACCTACCAGGTGGACATCTCCTCTTCAGCGAAGCACGTTCAATTACTCACAAAATCAGCGAGCCGTGACGCCATGGCACTTGTTACCACGTCGACGCACCGAACACACAAGAATATTCCCAGCGCTAAGGGAAAGAAAGTTACATGTGCAGGACACTTAAAGGGGAACTTCGGTGAACTTAGGCCATATCATAAGATCGAGCCGTTTTCAAATAGTACTTACAGTCCTGTGACAACTAGGCTAATTGATTTTGCCGAGAGACTCATCCATCGTTTTACATAGGCAAGAAACAGCAAGTCCAAACCGAAATAAAAACAGGGAGCTGTTCTGTACTGGGTATGCCATGACGTCACGGGACACGCTACACGCCACCACAGACTTTACATGGAGCGTGGTGGGTACAGACAAAAAAAAAAACGTATATCAGGCTTGATAGCGTCACAGCGTCTGTACCACCGGGCTTGACGAACATGGCATGTAATGTGCAGATAGGTAAAACAGACACATGGCAGTTCCCTTAATTGCAAGATCTTAAATAGACTTGTAATGAGAAAAGAAAGGTAACGGCATAAGTTTCTAAACAGGAGCATGAAAGAAACGAAAATTGTGCCTAATGAAAAAAAGGAACTGGCCCTGATACAGCAGATTGAAATGCGCAGGAACAAACAAAAGAGGGGATGAAAAATAAAAATAAAATACGCATATACTTTTATCATCACACACATGCAAATTAGGTAAATGAAAATGGTACGTATGCTACCGGGAAGTATTAAGTATACTAGCCTTTCAACATCTTAGTTCCATGATTTATTTGGACACCCATCAGGCTTCCCGCACTGCACCTTAAAGTGCGCACATGTACAGCCCAAGCAGTTCTGTGAGAAACCTGTTGTTATTTCTCGTTACCAATGTGTAGCGTTCATTTCAGGATTGTGCGATACCGTTCATTCACTGCAAATAAGTTGAGTGCTTTGAAAATTGGTTTCGTGTGTGCGTCGTGTACGGAATTAACGATGTTTTGAATCGCTTTCCTTTAGAATTTTACCGTGAAAGCTGTTATGAGATCACTTTTCGGGTCACGCGCAGTTGTTGTTGTCCGCCGCCACCGCCGCCACCGGTGTCCGTAACCACATCACGCGAACTCGAAAAGAAAAAAAACCCTTGCCCTAATGACACAGTGGGACTTGAACCTGGGTCCGCTGGGTGCCAGCCCAACAAACATTCTACCAATGAGTTACGCCGGTGCTCGTGACTCGTCAAACTTGCCTTAGGCAGGCTTGATGTCGGGAAAGCAATCGCATTAACACGACTTATAAATCGTTTTAGATTAGCGAGAGAACAACTAGTCGTCGCACAGTGCGAATAGCGGAACGAGTGGGCCGTCCAATGCTCCAAACAATCACAAAAGCTTCTTATTGTTCCCCTATTAATTGTGGCACATACCCACTTCAGCCATAATTTCTCATCGTCGTCAGCCACTGCATGAGCAATTGGCACAAAATTCCTTGCAAGTGTTTAGCGGATACTACGCTTCTCAGAAGATTAACGAAAAACAGCATAGCGAATGCTGGCCTACTACCCCAAAAGTTTATTATTAATGCCCTGGTGGGTACCAAGCAAGTGTGCTCGCAGTAGTTGCCCAATCAGTGTTTTGAAAAGGCTCTGAAAGGTCGCTCTTCCAGCTTTCGCTGTGACTGTGCTGCGCCTACCACGCAGGGCTGGAGTTATTTTTTGTATTTTCTGTGTGTTTGTTTCGGTGGTAGTGCCCGAGACTAAGTAACTTAGACAAGAATAGTGGCTTGTAAATTAACAATTTCATGTTTTGTGGCAGGGTGTAATGAAATTTGCATAATGTTCCTGCAGTTTTTGTAAGATTGCTTAAGGTGGACTTCAATTGATCTGTTGGCCGATGGCTAGGTGGCGTCAAGGAACGCGGACGTGAAAACGTCAGCTCCCGCTTTCCTAATATTTTCAGTCGTTTTTCGTTTTGTTTTTTTTTTCGCTCCAAGATCATTGGCTTTTGGCGTTTCGAACAAACAAGCTCTGCGGTTTCAGTAGAGCCGCCACTTTTGGCGGCGAGTGAAGTCTTAGAGATTTTTTGGGACTTTAATGTTGCGAAGCGGCGAGCGCCACTGCTAACCCTAACCACGCCTAGGGTTATCAAAGAGTACGACCGTTAGGCGTAGCCAAGAGCTCGGCCAGACGCGCAACCTGCTGGATCACCCTCCGTACGCCACTGCCGACAACTAGGCACTGATGATGCCTTCCACCATAACAGTGGAGGGGATGGAAGTAAGCGTGGATATCTTCGACGGACCAGGATGGGCCACCGCCATAAGGCGCCGAAGACAGACGACTCTATCGAACGAGAAGCTGGCCGCTGGGACGGTCGAGCACAACCAATCGAAGCACCCTAGGGGATTCAAAAAGAGCCAACCGTCACTACACCGTGTGGCATTCGCTTGCAGGCTATTCCGCATGCCCAAGCACCAGATCAGAGTAATCATGGGACAAAGAGGAGGATTGGACTTAGCCAGAGTCGACCTCGTTCTGCTGGTGAGAGCCGTCATACTGGCCGCCAAGATCACCAACCAACAAGCACAGGAGGACATGATGTGCCCCAACAAGATGCAAAACATCATCGTCATTTCTACGCCGCATCAAAATAATGCTACATCATACGTGAACGTGCAGAAACTGCACACAAAGCAAGGCTCGTTCGAAGTTGCCGCATACGTGGCCGCACCCGATAGTATATGCAAGGGCGTCATCAAGAACGCTGACCTCTCCCTTGGCGACGGAACGCTCAAACGGCTGATTGTTCACGACCGAAATCCCACTGCAATCGAGGCAAGACGCATTAAAAAGACCAAAGTCGTCGCAATCCTCTTCGACGGGTTGCGTGTTTCGAGCACAGTGATGTGCGGAACCGTCATGGTTCCCTGCTCGCTCTACAAGCGACAAGTCGATGTTTGCAGAACGTGCGGAGGAGTTGGTCATCGCGCCTATGTTTGCCGGCACACAAACGCAACGAGCAAGAAATGTCACAACTGCGAAGAAACACTTCAAGAAGATGGCGTGCGTCACTGCGAGCCAAAATGCAAGCTTTGCAATGGCTATCACCCCACCGGAGATCGCGAATGCAAAAGACGCTTCCACATTCCATACATAGTGAGAAGGAGAAGACGCAGAAAGCAAGAGTGGCAAGCACAACAACGTCAAAACACGACAACATACGTCACGTTCAAGGAACCCTGCCACAACCAGGTGCCGGGACGGGAGAACGCCTCGAGCGTCCATCACCGTTCTCGATCCAGGGGGAGATTCCGATCCACAGGGCATTCTTGTTCTGGAGGGCGCCCCTCGACCCTGTCGGAATCCGACAACCGCCTGTCATCACGGGAGTGCTCCAGATACCGATCGAGAACGAGACCAGCACCCGCACAGCACCAGCAGCAGCAGAAGCAGTAGCAGCAGCCGAACAATGACACCTGGGCCAGCAGAGTTGAAGGTACATCACGAAGCACAAGTAGCCAGCCCAGAGGTAAGGCACAGCCAAAGCATGACCCGATTCTCGCATACTAACGCTTGAACAAGAAAACAGGGCTCTCAAGAAGGAGCTTGAAGAGCTGCGGGCCACAATACCTAGAGTAGAGGGTGACCACGGGATTAACCAGTCTAGCTCACCGGCACCACCGACAACACGCTTACAACAAACGATCCACAACACACACACACGCAAAGCCGTAGACAGCGACAGCGATACGACGGGGGAAATCTGGATGGTCTCGAGCGATAAAGAAGCCCCACTGACAAACGCCGAGTCCACGATAACTAAGCTCAACGACAAAATTGATGCATTGGCGAACACGCTTGCAAGTTTATGGAAACCTTCAAGACATAAACTGACAAAGCTGACCAGAGGTTCGTGAGCCTGGAGAAGATGGTAGCCAACCCACCTGTGGCGGCTGCTCCTCAGAGCCTACGGGTCGTTTGTACGAAGCAGCGGTTACGGCAAGCGCGCCAAGCATAAGTTCTTGAGCTAAAGTCTGACCAGTCAAAGCACGCAATCTCGCGGAGGTAACGAGCCGCGACGCACACAAGCTACCAAGCCAAAATGGCCGCTGACCGTAACGATATTCGGATCTGGCAGTGAAACTGTGACTCACTTCAGAAACGCAAAGCACCACTAGCACAACTATTGCTAGCCTGTAAAAAAAAGCCGCGTATAATATTTCTAAAGGAATGTGGAGAAAGCAAAACTGCTAAAAGCATTGGTATACAGGGGTACAGGGTAGCCAGGCCGACCCTGCACCCCGATCAGAACAATACGCGAGGAGTGGCTACCTTCATCCGGAAGGACATAATGTTC